GACAAAGAGGAGGTCCCCTTAAATTTAGATGAGTTTATTTTCACTACCGAAGGACATTTGTTTCCTTTAACTTTATCAGGCCGTGGAGTCAATTTCACCAAAGTTACTTCAGGTACCTATTTTGTTAACGAATTTACAAGGTGCACCAAAAACTGCATCAACTGGAAGAGATATTATTAAGTTATTGAAAAAAGTTTATACGAAGTTTCTTCAGCATACCCAATAACAAAAAAATTATCATATTTGTTATGCACTGTCATGGCGGCAAATTATAGAAATCTTTACATAAGCAGAAAATGGGATTACATGACAAAATATTGAGTAGGACCGAAGTGAAAGAATGTTTAGAATTTGATATACATCTTTGTACCAAGTTTCATAAATATACAGAGACATTCAAAAACTCAAAAATCATATTTTATGTTTTGAATGATTGGCAAAAATCGTATTTTTTTCACCACAATTAAATAAAACAAAATAGAACCAACAAGAATAATTTCCAATACAATATTTTCTCTTTACTGTTATGTAAATAATCATAAAATATAAAAAAATAAGTTTAAGATGCCATACCCATTCTACTTAACATTGCATTAGACGTTGTATTGGTAGATTTGGCGTTGTTTTACACAGGGTTGCCAACTCTGGCAGTTGAATACCCCAGCTAGATTTGTATATAAAAACCGCTATAGTCCGCTAGAAGCGATATTGAAACTGAAATTTTGCCGTGTTGCCTATTTTTGTATATTTTGGTAAGGCACTCATCACGTGATCAGATGGATTTAATGCGACTTCGAAGATTTTAGGCTATTCTAGGCCTAGGTACTTTAAGAAATATGATAATTACGTGCTTATGGGTGCAAATTTTGAAAAGAAAATTGTTATGTCAATATTACTTATTTATTATTAAAAAAATTAAACTGAAAAAAACGAAAGTTGGCAATACTGGTTTTACGTCACCTTGACTAAAGAAAATCTAATTTTTCTGTAGAAATAATCGTAAAGTTATATTTTTTGAAAGCTCGTGTTTATGAAACTTTGTACATAACATACAAATCAAATTTTGAAGAGATTTTCTTTGAGATTTTTTGATACTTGGTCACCTAACCTGACTTTGGCAAATGCAAATATGAGCTACCATAACAAATATTGTAAGACATGTCAAAATATATTTTTCTGTTATAGTACATACTAAGTAACATTTCTTTTTCAATATCTCAAAAAATACTCATTTTTTGGTGCAATTTTTAGTGCACCCTGTTTATATTCTGTTGTATTTATATAAATCTCTTCAGATATGGAAATAGAGAATTCTGAATTTGCCATGTCTTGTCCAAACACTTTATCACTATTTCCGGATGCTGTTAGAAAACCACTTAAGCATATGGTGGATGGCATGTGTCCAAGAAGATCAATTAAAAGGAGGTATTTATTTTTTATTCAGTCTTTCCTCTTTTTCCTATTTTAACATTTATAGGTTTTTATACCTTATATTACAGAATACCTTAACCCCACAGTAAGCGTCGTTTCCTTTGAAGTATGTAACTAAAATTGTTTGATCTTAAGGTCGGTCACATACCATACCGTCGGCTTTATGACGAAAAGGCATATCTCGATTTTTGCTACTTTTCAGGAGAGCAATTTAAAGAAAATCACTTACTTTATTTGGCCAATAAATGTAAAGTCTTTAATTTTTTAATAGTGTTTTTGTATTAACACTTAAACGGAGACATTCAGGAAACGTTCTGAAGATAAATTGAGCGTAAATTCTAATAAATAATTTATTTTTAGTTGTTTAATAGAGATAGGCCTTTTTGTTATAATAATAAATTTATTTCCGAACGAATTGTATACATACGCTCATGTAAAATAAATTTAAAAATGATGATAAAATCAAAACACGTTACACTTACTTCACATAAGGAAAAAAAAATAAATAAATATAAAAATAAAAATACATACATATACAAGAAAAAATTTGAAAATAACCAAAAAATCAGAAATAAATATATTTAAATGCTTTTATTCGCGTTGGATTAGATCAACTGAAAAACAAAGACAATTTTCATTCCATAAGCAAAGACAATAATAAATTAAAATACTCTTATCTAGCTTATTTTAATAATATTGTTTTTTATACAAAAATACATTTTTTTAACTAATATATTTTTAGTAATTATTTAGTCCATTTAATAAAAAACCAAATTAAACAAAAACAAAACATGTTTCTTCATTCGTGCCTTTTTGATACAAATAACTGTGGAGTAACAGTTTCCGTTTTTTCTGTTCAGTGATAACAAATTCGACTTCCATTCTACGTGTTTATTGTTTATGCTGGATGATGATCGGCACAATGAATAAAATTTTCCAAAAATTGGCAGGGATGACAATGCCAATGACCTCGCCTGACAATGATAATGAATTGAAAATTCTTTTATTTTTCGGGCAAGTTTTTGGTTTGCTAAAATGTTCTTAGGGAAATTATGATTTCGGGAAATTTTCCATTAGGGCTATTTTCGTTTTCGTTGCTTTCGTTCAATTTTCCTTCAGCCATTTATTCTCGGACAATCTTTTGGATACCCAATACAGCTATGTGCAGAGTCTAGCTCATTCTAACAATGGTTTTTGGCAAAAAAGCAGACTCAAAATCACACTGTAAAAGAGAGCTGCTGCCATGATAGAAGTTTTATTTTGTCCCAAGCAACAATCAGAAAATAATTAGGCAGAATGAATGGTGTGATTTTCTCTCGCATGCATTTTTATAACTTAAAACAAAAGGACCTATCTCAAATTCCATATTTCTTGTAGTACAACAGTTAGAATAACAATTGATATAACAAAGAGCCCTATCTCAACATACGTCTCTTCGTCATAACGAAGAATTGTAATATTTGAGATGGGGCAAATTTTTAAACGAATATAAAATGAAAAAGGTACAATATTGAGATGCGCAAATTCGCTATGTTAAAATATGAGCCATTGGGCACGTCATGACGTTGATATCTCAAAATCGCCAAGAAATCGAGTTACGCCTTTTTCGTCATAAAGCCGACGATACGATCAAAAAAAGCGGCGTCAGTAGAACTCGAAATGAAAATCGCTACCATTTTATATGTAAAATTATATGGAGAATGGCATTGTTTGTGATTTCCAAGCCAATCTGGCGCCTTATTTTTGTTCATACGTTATTTTTACAATTAAACTCACTTTATACAGGGTGGTCCAATTGTATTCCGGAAACTTCGGCGACAGGCTTCTGCAAATAAAATAAGTAAAAAGTTCGTAGATAAATGTATGTCCTAAAATGCCTAGTTTGGAGATACAGGGTGTAGAAGTTTCATTTTATTTCGATTTTTTTTCGAAATAATTTCTTTTTTCCAAAAAAATTGTTTCTGATAGTTTTTTGACATGGGAAATTTGATTTTGATGTCAATATGACTCCTACTTATAGAGGGCGCCACCTACATATTTTGTAACTGGTTTGAACAGTAATAGCTTTTCGTCTGTACCTGTATAAAACTACTGAGTAAAAAAATATACATTTACGACGTTTTTTTACGTAAAAAAGGTCTCTTAGTAAAAATCGCTACGAGTAATGGTTCTCGCGATATTTGGAATCGAAATTTTCAATACCTGTCATCATTGGCATAAATTAAACATGTTGACTAAATAGTTATTTGACTGAAATCATAAATTTGAAATATTTTTGCGTCAAAACTGTTTTATCAACATTTTTTCGCAGAAACAATTATGATTAATTTAAAGAAACTAAAATTTTACGAATTTATTTTTTCAGTCAAATAAGTATCTACTCAACGTGTTTATTTTTTGTCAATAATGACATGTATTGACTATTTCCATTTTAAATATCTTGGGAACGGTTGCTCGTAGCGATTTTTGCCAAGAGACATTTTTTACGTAAAAAAATCACGAAAATGTATATTTTTTAACTCAGTAGTTTTATTAAGGTACGGACGAAAAGTTATTACTCTTCAAAACAGTTGAAACATATGTAGGTGGCGCCCCCTACAAATAGGAGTCATATTGACATCAAAATCAAATTTTTCATGTTAAAAACCTCCAGACACAAATTTTTATCCAAATATTGAGGTTACTTCAAGAATTATTTGGAAAAAATCGAAATAAAAATGAAATTTCCACACCCTGTATCTCCGAAACTAAGCCTTTTAGGACATACATTTATACAAACTTTTTTACTTATTTTTATCTATAGAATATGCTGCCGAAGTTTCCGGAATACGGTTCGGACCGCCCTGTATATTGAAAAAATTGTCTAGAATTTTATTGAAAGAATTTTTTTAAATACACTGAGAAAAATTATGTCCCCATATAGCTGTTTTTTTATTACTGTAGCTTTTTATTGCGACGAATAAAATCAATTAAAATTTGGAAATAAATAGGAAATATAGGAAAAAAATTAAATATTTACAACAGGAATTAAAAAAACACGTCTTTAAAGAAACTTTACAAATTCAATAAGTAAAAGTGTAAATATTTTTCATATATAAAAAAATATTACTAAAGCCACAAAAAGTATCAATTTTACTCCTAATACAACAATATACTATTAATATAAACTTTTTAACTCAGATTGACAGCTAGCGAGTTTTCTGCTGCTAATGTCAACCACTTAAAGATACTGAAGGAAATGGGCATAAATATCATAGCTTTACGTGATGGAAGAGTGCAATTACTACATACTCCCACAATGGTAAGATTTTTTTTCAAGTTTTCACTTAAAATTATAACTCATAGCATATTTTATATCAGTGGTATGAGCTTAGAATATTTGAAATTTTATATATCTTTAAGAAGTTAAACATAATATCTTTATATACGCAGAAACTGGATGAGTTTCCATGTTTCCAGTATACCATGAAACAAAGAAAACAAGGTATGATATTGCGCACGTTGGTCACTACGTCACAGGTGATTCGGCACCATTGGTCGGTACGCTCCGCGCGCCAATTTCAAATCGTTATACTTATGGCACATAATAGCTTCTATGTCCCACTAGTTAACTTGCATACCCAACAATGTTGCCGTTTGTTGTCCCTTAATTTCGCAGCTCTGCACGCGCATATACGATAATCGGCCGAGTATTTCGCGTGCAATCTAAATAAAAAAAATTACCCTAGAGACTAACCAAAGCAATCAAAACACGCCTACATATTTTGATTTCTATTACCGACAACTGTAAATAAATAAAAAAATAAAATCAGCTGTAAAAAAAAGAAAAAAGTTAGGTTTGGTTTGGGTTAAATTAAAATATTTGGGTTAATAATTAAAATACAGACCACGGAAATAATGTGACCAGGGCTAGTATACCGAGTGGTGCATCGTGGTTGGAAACATAGGAAATCCCATGCAAATTTTGAACTGCCCAAATATTGGCTCCCCTATTGATTTTATAGCAAAGTCGTAAATAGATTTTTTAAAGGTATACGTTAGGTACACACATGCCAAATTTGAGCAACTTTAGACAAGCCGATTTTGAGTAATTTGAGAAAAACTGCATCTATTTTTAAATTAAAACTGAACAGGTAACAACCAAACATTAGTCAAAAACCGACATACCTTAAGTTGTCAACGTCATTTTCAAACGTAACTTAATTTTTTTATTGTGCCCGATGGCGTAGAGGTATAGGCTCTCGTTTACCAATCTCAAGGTTGTGGGTTCGAATCCTACACCCGGCATTTCATCCTTGACTTTTTATTAAAATAAAAAATAGTCTGGGTACCTAAGTCGACTCAACCTTATATGAGTACTTGGATTCACAATCTGAGGTAATAATAGGCGGTTGAAGCGTAGTGCTAGCCACATTATCTTCCTTGTATACCGAATGGCTCAAGCCGGCTAGCATGGCAAGCTGTGCCTTGCTACTCCCAAGGCGTTAAACGCTATATACGGGAGTTATTATTACAACTAATATTACTACAACTTAATTTTAATAAGGTACAATATTTAATTACTTAAATTAAATTACTCTTCACTAAATCTAAGGTATGTCGGTTTTTGCGTGGTATTTGATTGTTACCTGTTGTGTTTAATATAAAAATAAATTACCCAAAATCGGCT